CCTAACTCCTTTGGCTTCCATATAAACCAAATGTTACCAAACCAGGGTTTCCTCTTTCACGGGGACTTCTGACGTTGGTTGCCCCTGGCTTTGCCATCAATTTATAGCATGGTCTCAGGTGAAACCCAGGTGGGGAATGTAATCGAAAGCAGCGGTCTGGCGATTCCCTACTTCGGTTCCAAACTGAAAGCTGAAGTCAGACACAAACAGGAAATAAGACGCATGTTATTGAGCACGAGTAACTGACCATGGGAATAGTTTATCATGCCGCACGGTGGATTCTCCAGCATTTGGAGTCAGCCTGAGATACCACTGCTGATACACAGAGGTGCCAGGCTGCTCTCAGATAGCAGCGCAAGGCTGTGATAATTCAATCGATGTCAGCAGAGTGAGCCCTGTATCGATACAATTTGGTCTTCTGTTGCCATAAGATGCACTGATTCTACTCAGCATGCTCTCACAAGAGAGATCACTTAAACCAGGGCTGAATCCATCCCACGTAATGCGTTGAGCCGGACGGCAGCTGGCCTCCTTCTATTTGTATCCTGCTGCCCATGTCACTGAATTTCCGGGAGATGGCTCTGGCAGCAGGATCCCCTTTAAATGGCTCCCGGTCACAGCCCAGAGCTGAGTGCCTTTTAAATAGCTGCAGCAACCCCCGTAGCTGCCAGCCAATGCCATAGTGGTGGGGCCAGAAGCCATGAGCCGTTTGCTGCGTATTTTCTTCAAAGCCTCTGGCCCCAGATAACTTTGGAGAGAGGCTAGTCCCCAGCCCCGCCCCTTCTGCCCTAAGCCCCGCGCCTTCTGGGGATGGGGTGGGCGGAGCTATCCTATGACCAGTACCAACATTCATTAAGTGGCCCCCTTGCCACAAAAATTATTGCCCACCCCTTTCAAATCCTTCGGGCTTGTGTGTCGCTTCTGTGAGGGTGCAGGCACACTGTAGCACTTAAAATAAAAATCACCAAGACATCGAGTCCAACCCCCTGCCCAAAGCGGGACCAACCCCAACAAAAGCATCCCAGCCAGGGCTTTGTCAAGATGACACTTAAAAACCTCTGGGGATGGAGATTCCACCCCCTCCCTAGAGAACCCATCCCAGCGCTTCCCCACCCTCCTAGGGAAATAGCTTGTCCTAATATCCAACCTAGACCTCCCCCACTGCAATGTGAGCCCATTGCTCCGTGTTCTGCCATCCATCACCACTGAGAACAGCCTCTCTCCATCCTCTCTGGAACCCGCCTTCAGGAAGTTGAAGGCTGCTGTCAAATCCCCCCTCACTCTTCTCTTCTGCAGACTAAACAAGCCCAAATCCCTCAGCCTCTCCTCATAGGTCATATGCTCCAGCCCCCTAATCATTTTGGTTGCCCCCTTCTGGACCCTCTCCAATGCGTCCACATCCTTTCCGTAGTGGGGGGCCTAGAACTGGATGCAATACTCCATTAAGAGAATGCGCCGCAATATTGACATTGAGACGTGTGACCTTCAGAAATCCACCTGCCCAATTTAACACCCACCCGGCTCAAGGTGTGGAATTCGAGCTGCTGTGCAAACCACAGGGCTTGATTTCTAGGTGAACGAGGAGTAGCCAACCATGTCTGGCAATGGCAGGAATAGGAGAGGAGAAAGACGTGAGAAACCATTCCGATTCCATCTGGCTAGCTTGCAAGAGGTTAAACAGCATCAACCTGTCTAGGGATTCATTTCCTATGTTAAAATAGGAGCTTGATCCCAGTGCGATGCCCAGCCTTCCCCAGCAGAAAGGGGTCTGGGAAAGAGAGAGGGCTGAGTACCCGGTCCAGAGGATGTATAGCTGGCAGTGACATGCCCTTGCAGCTGTTTACGCTTTGGTGCACAGCACAGCCAAGCGAGAGGTGAGGTCCCACAGGGCGGCAGGAGATCCAGCGAAAACCCGAACCAAACCTCCCGTGGCAAACACGAGTCACGTTGCTTAACACAGGACTGGAAGGCCCTCGGACGTCACCAAGATGAGGGCGGTGTAAGAACACAGAGGAATTAAACAGAACCGACTCCACAGTGTGAATTTCCTGCTGCTTCCTCCCACCCCCAATACACTTTTAGACAGATACAGCACAAGAGGGAGGTTTAGACAATGCCCAGAACATCTGGGTCCCAACCTGGCTGGCCCCTCTTTGTTAGCACAATAAACCAGTTTAATAATAAATCCAACGTCTGTCTTCTCTGCTGCCTCCCAGAATGGAAGTTGAGTCATTAAAGGCCTTCCTAGGCAAACAAATCTCCATAGAAACCCTCCTGCATCCCAGCCACTCTCTTCCCACCTATTGAACCACTAGTAACCATTTCCTGAGCAGTGGCACAGCGGCCGTCTCTCTCACACCCATGCCTCGCACTTGCACTTCATGGAGCCCATAGGTTAAAGCAGAGGCAATCATTTTTGGTGGGGGGGGCACCCCACAATTTTGGTAAGTGGTCAAGGGCCACTTGTCTGTGGAGGGAGTGCAGGGTCTAGGACGGAGGTGCTGTGCAGAAGGGCGCACGAGATAAGGGACTGGGGTGCAGGAGACTGTGTGGGGTCTGAGAGGGAGTTTGGGTGAAGGAGGGGGTTGTGACCTGGGTCAGGGGATTGGGGTACAGGGAGGGTGTTTGGGTGCAGGAGAGGATTGTGGCCTGGGACAGGGGCATGGGAGGGGGTACAAGGTCTGCGAAGGAGATGTGACCTGGTGCAGGGCACTGGGTAATGTTGGAGAACATTTCTCCTTTGGTCTTGATTGTGAGCCGCTAGGGGCTTTGGGTGGCCAACTTGAAGCACCCGGAAGGAGCCCAATTGTTCAGAAAGTGGGTCCTTAGTAATGTTTCCAGTGTGTGGAATAAATTTTGTTCGGTGCACTCAGGCATGTGTGGATGTGCACCACCCATACACATAAACCTAGCTGTGGGTGCTCTTCTAATCAACTGGGAAACAATGGAATCTCCTGGATGGCTGTCCAAACACTCAGCTTACAGTGAACACTGCTCCTAACATTCCTGCCTATTTTGTCGTCTTCTTTTGGTACCTTTCTAAATCCCTCTTCCACCATGCAAACCTCCCCCACTCCCATCAAGCCTCTCAACGTCTGATCTTCTTTAGAAAGGCCTTTATTTGACTTTATAGCAAACGAAACACTAGTTTAAATCAAGTGTACCTGGTACACGGTTACAGCAATGAAGTGGCAACAATTTTAGACGTGACCGACCCTCTCCTTTCCTCCTTCCTCCGGGCTGATCCACGGATTTAGCACGGCTGCAGGTGGGTTAGTGAGCATTCTATGCTCAAACATGATTTGGACGATAAAAACAAGAGCTAAACATGGATGAAATGTTACAGAAGTGAAAAATTAAAACGTTATCGGTCTTGAAGAATTAAGATTTCCTGTTAAACACCGAAGAATCAGCCATTAAAACAGTTATGCAGTTAAGTCGGTTTACCTGAAGGATGCCTTAAAGTGGTCCATATGATACAATTCCATTAAGGATCCTAGATGAATCCGTCCAGACGGGATTTAAAAAAAAAAATCCAAACAACCCATTTTGGACAAACTTGGGAACATCGGCACATGGATAAGGGCTAGAAAAATCAGGCCATAAGACAAAAATGTTCTGCACATGCCTGCTCCCCAAAATTCTGGAGGATTCTGCATCTCCTCGCCCAAGAAACCCCCAAGACATTTTTGGACTCTTCATTCCTTTTGATCTTATAAATTCTCACTCGCACCCCCTTGAGTAACCCAGGGCATATTTCACTTGAATTCAAGAGAAGAGGTAAACACTGATGGATTCGATTTTACTCCGCTTTAGGGGCGCGGAAGAGGAGGAGGGAGATGTGTCAAAAATCTCATTCACATACCTTAGCAGCTGCTCCCATCTGATCAAATACATTACCAAGAGGGAGAAATCCTGACCCCACCTCAACCCCAAACCTCTCCATGGCTTTTATCTAGGAACAATGGGGGAGGAGGGGGTTTCCACCTCACCTCGGAAGGCTGCACAATAGAACGCAGGACTTGCAAAGTGCCCGTCAAGTTGGAAACCCTTCCTTACACATTTTGAAAGAACCACGTTACTTAAGATTTCACAAGTATAAAAATCAAACCATCACTCAAAGATTCTGAATTCAGGACAACGGAGACAATTCTGATGGAGATGCTATTCGCTCGGAGATGCTAGTTTAAGTTTTGGAAGGGACAGCACTCATTGCAGTAATATCATGGAGGGGAGGTTTCCTTCCCCGGCCCTATATTTCCTGCTACTCTTCTTTTTTTGTTGGTTTTAATTATAATACAATTTACAACTGTAGTAAGAATACTACGGGCAAAGCCCCTGGGAAGCCATCAAGCTTCAGAAAGTCCATCGATCGTGTAATTGGCTTTCACTGCTAAAGCTGTTACTTGCGGAGGCCTCCGGGTTCTGTGTTTGCCGAGTGGAGTCCTCGCCGTTTAAGCTCTTCCTGCAGACCGGACACGTGTCGTGCTGAAACAAGAGCAGGAGGGTACCGTGAAAACCCGGCCTTGGGAACCAGTTAACCACGGCTGTTTATATAGCAACTTGCCACCTCCACACGCCTTCTACGCGCAGAACTTGGAGGAATTCTCTTCACCTGCCACCAAAATGCAGCCCCCTCTGGGTCAGCGCACGCCAGCTGATTGAGCAGCGCCAAGCAATGTGACACAGACTGGGAAGGGTTGGATTTTAAATCGAGAACTGCTGATCCATGTTAATTTCAACAGGCACACTTAAGTGGATGAAAAAAAAAGTATCAATAGTCAGCATGCCAGCTGGGATCCATTGTTACCGGCCCTGCCAGGAGCCCACCCCAGTCGCAGGAGTGGGACAGCAGAGCTACAGCGGTCTCTCAGCTGCCTCAAGGATGGGAGCAGAGCAGAGACCCCACTAGGCAGGACAGTGAGCACCCAGCTGCAGGCGGGAGGCAACTGCACAGCTGACTGGCTCCTGCAGGCGTGCAGGGACCTTTATGCGGCCGCACCATCATGGGCCTCCTTTCGTGCTCACCAGACAGGAATACAGGGGTCGGCTCAAGGCAGGATCTGCTCAGCAGCAGGGTGGTTTCCCCCTGCCCCGGCAGGGGCTTGTCTGGCTCTTTACAGTCCCAGGTAGGAGGAGATCAGGTCTGACAGGCCAGGATGACTGCAGTCTTCCTCCCCCCGGCACCTTGTACCGTGATGTCGTGAGTTCCTTAGACACACACAGGACCTCCCCCACCACCTGCTGTCACTGCTGCCCTAAGACCCAGACTCCAATTCCACCCCCAATGCTGCCACAATAAAAATAATTTACCTCCCCCTCCCCCCAAAAAAATCTTTAAAAAATAAGATAAAAATGGTCAAATTAGAAAATAAAAATCAAGTTCTGCCAATCCCAGTAATAAAATTGTTTAGGAAAGCAGGGAGGGGGGAGCTCTTAGCATCCAGTTGAAACTCTGGGGCAGGGTATGTGGGGGAGGGGGATTTATACTGATGATTTTTGTAAAGTGCTTTGGAGACCTAGGGGGATTCTAACTATCACGCAAGTGAAATGTAGTGACCCTAAGCCAACGGTGAAGTCTCATGAATAGTGCAGTTGTCTAAATGAAAACAAACAAAAAACAGTCAGGCCCTTATCAGAAAGGCACTGCAAAGAGCAAAAAGTGCCCTGAAAAATATGCTGGGGCAAGATTTCAACACTGACTCAGAGGGAAGCCCATCCCCGTTCTAACCAACGCCAATTCACTCCACCCTGGCGGTCTTCCAGCCCCGGGCTAACCAAATAAACCCTGCTTAGCTCAGATCTGTTGGGCTCACAGTCCACCAGTTGTTTGGCAAATGCAATTTAACTGTTAACCAGTGGCTAGCCACCTCGGCGTTTGCGATTCTGATAATCGATTACAAAGGACCGATGAATGGATCTGAACTTAGGTTACACGTTATTTGGTGCAGCACGAGGATATGGGAGAAATGTAGCCCCACGTTTCTGAATAGAAAGGTCTTTAAAGAAACACGGTCCTTTTGAAAAGCACATTGTATGTAACTACACTGTAATCAGGGGCTGAGCTACATAAAAGTTGGGTTAAATGAGCGGACGACAGCAACTCTGGAATTTAGAGATTTCATGGGAAAACATGGCATGGGACCCAATGCTTGCTACCCATGCAGGATTTGAAAGGCTTTTTGATTGGGGCTTCAAGCCCTTAATAAATGAAAAAACTAAGGTGGACGAAGGAGGACAAGATTGCAAGGTTAACAAGGAAGGAAGGGGCGGCGGTTCAAGGCACTGGACTCAGCAGACCAAAGTTGAGTGCCTCATTCTGCTACCGACTCCCTGTGTGACTTCAGGCAAATGCCGCGAGGGGTTGTAAGACTAAATACGTCATAGATCTGGGTGCTCGGATACTACAGCGATCAGGTCCCAAGCACTAAAACAGATACAGGAATGAGACAAAGAAGGGCTGAATAATTCCTAGATCAATTTAAAGCCAAATGGTGGTAACACTTCGCACCCTCAGTGCACACTTTACAGTGTTTCCTTGGGCTTAATAAAGATATTTAGGAGCTTGCAGTGTGGGGATTAATATGAGCATGGAAAAGTGGATAAGGAATTGGTTAGCGGGCAGATGACAATGGTCGTGACAAGGTGAACTGTCAGTCAAGCTGGAGGGAGGTTACTTACGAAGCGCCTCACAGAGCGGTTTGAGGACCAATCTTATTTAACACGTTTATTACTGACCCTGGCACAGAGTGCGAGGGGGCTTATAAAGTATTGCCAATGCGGAAGAGGAGCGGAATATAGAGTCATAAAAATCACAGAACCAAAAGGGACCTCAAGAGGTCTTCAAGTCCAGTCCCCTGTGCTCATGGCAAGACCAAGCACCACCCAGACTGGGGTGGGCAAGATACAGCTCATGGGCTGGATGTGACCTGCCAAGCCACCGGATCCAGCCCACGGACTGTCCCACCTGCACCCTCAAGCATAGAGCTACCCCCATGCTGCTTTAAGCAGCTGGCTGCTCCCTGTGGCGCTCTGCTCTGGGTGCTAGGGGGGAGGGAGGAGAAAGAAGGGTCATGTACTACCCCTGTCCCTCAGTCCAATTTCTCAGCTCCTATTGGCTGGAAACCAGCCAACAGAAGTAAAGAGACTGGGCCGAGGCTGGTGGCAGCACTGAAGCCTGCTCCTCCCCAGGCTTCTGGAACAGAGCGCCACATGGAGGGAAGCCAGCAGTTTTGAGCTGTCTATGGCTGCAGCAGGCAGGGAGCCATCTAGGTAAATGCTTCCTGGCCAGAGCCTGCACCCCATCTCCCTACCCCAGGTCACCACCCAAACCCTCTGCATCCCCCCTCCTCCAGGTCACAACTCTCCCCCTTCCTCCCCTGCATTCCCTCCTACACCGCTTGCCTAGGCCAGAATCCTCTCCTGCATCCATACCTCCTTCCAGCCCCTGCACCTCAGTCCCCTGATCCAGATCATAATCCAATTCTGCATCCCCCACCCCCAGGTTACAACTCCCTCCCAGATCCTGCACCCACAGGCCAGAATCCACTCCTGTACCCTACCCCCTTCCAGAATCTGCCCCCCAATTCCCTGATCTGGGGCAGAACTCCCTCCTTCAGGCCCACACCCTCTCCTGCATCCCAATCCCCTACCCCAAGCTCCCTTCTCCACCCAACCTCCCTCCCAGACCCTGTACTCCCTCCATAGAAAACTGCAGTCTTTGACCATTTACCCAAAATCTTGGGAGTGGCTCCCATGAACCATTATTGCCCACCCCTGACAAGGGTCTGTCTAACCTGATCTTTAAAATCGCCAATGATGGAGATTCCACAACCCTCCTAGGCAATTTATTCCAGTGTTTAACCACCCTGACAGTTAGAAAAGCTTCCTTATGTCCAACCTAATCCTCCCTGGCTGAAATTCAAAATGACTTGGACAATCTTGTAAACTGGAGTCATCAAAATGGGATGAAATGTAATGGTGCAAAGTGCGAGATCGTGAATATTGGGACTAACAACAAGAATTTTTGCTATAGGCGGAGGACAGATCAGTAGAGGGTGAGAGGGGAAGAGAAAAGACCTACGTGTGTTGGTTGATCACAGGATGACTATGAGCCACCAATGTTACACAGCTGTAAAACAGGCTAATGCAGTCCTAGGATGCATCAGGGAAATTATTTCCAGTAGAGACAGGGAAGTGTTATACAAGACACTGGTAAGAACTCATCTGAAATACTCTGCACCATTCTGGTCTCCCCTGTGTATGAAAGAGGACTTCAAACTGAAATGTGCAGAGGAGGTCTCTATAATGACCTCCTGAGGTTTCTGGCGGCGCGTCTAGACTCTTTAGAAAGAGGAATGCAAATGAGGGAAATCAAAAACGCAAATGAAGTGCTGATTTACAAATCTCACGCTTCATTTGCATAATCTCATCCGATCGCTTTTTTGGAAGAGGTTTTGTTTTTTTTTAAAAAAAGCAGCCTAGACGGGGTTCTTTCGGAGAAAGAAAGAAAGGAAAAAAACCCCACTTTCAAAAGAACCCTTATTCCTGAAAAAATGAGGTTTACAGAGTTTTTGAAAATGGGGTTCCCCCCAAAAACACCCCATCTAGACTCCTTTTTTTTCAGAAAAAATCTCTTCCAAAAGAGCGATTGGATGAGATTATGCAAATGAGCGCTTCATTTGCAATTTTGATTTCCCTCATTTGCTTTCCTCTTTCGAAAGAGGAATGGAGTCTAGACGCACCCTTCCAGCCCTAGGATTCTAGGAAGGGCTCCTACGATGATCCGAGGAATGGAAAACCCACCTTTATGAGAGGAGACTCAAAGAGCTTAGCTTGTGTAGCCTGACCCAACAAAGGCTGAAGGGAGAGGTTTGCCCTCAAGAACGCAATCAAGGGATAAATACCATGGAGGGAGAGGAGTTATTTAAGGTAAGGCCAATGCTGGCACAAGAATATGTTGGTATAAATGAGCCATCAATAAGTTTAGTCTTTAACTTAGACCGAGGGTTCGAACCATCAGAGGAGCGAAGTTTTGAAACAGCCTTCCAAGGGGAACAGCGGGGGCAAAAGAACGAACTGGCTTCAAGACGGAGCGTGATAAGTACCTGGAGGGGATAGCAGAGCTGACAGCCTACAGCGGAGGTAGCCAATCTGTGACTGCTAACAGCAAATATCTCCTACAGCCAGTGACGGGACACTCGAAGGGGAGAGCACCGAGATACTTGATAAAGAATTCTCCGCAGTGTCTGGCTAGTGTGCCCTGAGGGATGTCCCTGGTTAACCAGGATGCAGCACTGTTACTGGGTGATGCCTACTGGTTAACCTGCAGCCTGGCCTGGCCAGAGCAGCCCTCCGCCCACTGGACTCCATTTTAGCGGTTAACCAGTTAAATGCTACACTTAACTGATTAAAGAGGTTTTACGGCCCTAGACCTGATTACTTGGTTCACTGTCTAACCAATCGTCATATTGGCGGTTGGGAAGGAATTTTCCACTTGGTCAGATTGGCCAAGACCATTGGGGTTTTCCACCTGTCTGCAGTGTGGGTCACGAGTCACTGACAGGTTTAAACTAAACTAGTGTGAATGGCAGGTCCTCTGTAACCTGAAGTCTTTAAATAATGATGTGAGGACACAGTAATTCAAAGGAAAAGGGTCTGTTAAAGGAACGGGTGAGTGAGGTTCTGTGGCCTACAAGGGGCAGAAAGCCAGATTAAGGTCAGAAGGGACCATCCAAAGACTATGAGATAAGGTCTCTCCATTGGGCAGGTGAGGAAACTGAGGCAGCAGTGCCTGGACTAACTGTGGCTCACAAAAGAACTCAGCCTTCTTTGTACGGTATCTTCTCAGGCTTGGAGGCTGAGATGCTCTGTAGTAGGCAGGCACTGTGCTGCTATGAGAGCTTCCCCCACACTCTGCCTCTGGAGCCCCAGGCTGGCTAGAATCATAGAACACCAGAACTGGAAGGGACCTTGAGAGGTCATCGAGTCCCTCCCCCTGCCCTCATGGCAGGACCCAGTACCGTGTAGACCATTCCTGACAGATGTCTATCTAACCTGCTCTTAAATATCTCCAGAGATGGAGATTCCACAACCTCCCTGGGCAATTTATGCCAGTGTTTAACCACCCTAACAGTTAGGAAGTTTTTCCTAATGTCCAACCTAAACCTCCCTTGCTGCAATTTAAGCCCATTGCTTCTTGTCCTATCCTCAGAGGCCAAGGAGAACAATTTTTCCTCCCTCCTCCTTATGACACCCTTTTAGGTACCTGAAAACCATTATCATGTCCCTTCTCAGTCTTCTCCTTTCCAAACTAAACAAGCCCAATTCTTTCAGTCTTCCTTCACAAGTCATGTTCCTTAGACCTTTAATCATTCTTGTTGCTCTTCTCTGGACCTTCTCCAATTTCTCCACACCTTTCTTGAAATGTGATACCCAGAACTGGACACAATACTCCAACTGAGGCCCAATCAGCGCAGAGTAGAGCAGAAGAATGACTTCTTGTGTCTTGCTCACAATACCCCTGTTAATGCATCCCAGAATCATGTTTGCTTTTTTTGCAACAGTGTCACGTTGTTGACTCATATTTAGCTCGTGGTCCACTATGACCCTTAGATCCCTTTCCTAGACAGTCGCTTCCCTTTATGTGTGTGAGAAACGGATGGTTCCTTCCTAAGTGGAGCACTTTGCATTTGTCCTTATTAACTTTACCCTATTTACCTCAGACCATTTCTCCAGTTTGTCCAGATCATTTTGAATTACGACCCATCCTCCAAAGCAGTGGCAACCCCTCCCAGCTTCATATCAACTGCAAACTTAATAAGCGTACTCTGTAGGCCGATATCTAAATCATTGATGAAAATATTGAACCAAACCGATCCCAAAACAGACCCCAGTGGAACCCCACTTGTTATGCCCTTCCAGCAGGATTGTGAACTGTTCATAACTACTCTCTGAAGGGGGGAAGGAAAGTCAATAGGCATGGTTCATTCCATCCCTGACCTCAGGTGAGAATGATAGGAAGGGGAAAGGGGGAGTTTTCAAGTGGACACTCTACCAGGACAGAGACCGTAGCTTGTTTCACATGCAACCACCAACCATCAGACGGCACAAGTCCAGCTGCTGCTCAGATCCTGTCGGCGTGACTTACAGACAAAAAGCACCGTAAACCCATCAGCAGTTTCTCCAAGCCACCAGCCTGAAGGACGGCTTTAGACCGGACACGTTTCCAAGGCTGCACGAGGATGACGAAAGTGCCCGGGCTGGAAGGGGCAGGCGGGGTAGTTGCTGCCCCACACCTCCCAGCAGCTCATACAGGGGCCAGAAGACAGCAAGGAGCAGCCAGTGTTAGCCCAGCGTCTCTCACACACGCTCTTACCAGTTCTAACCATGGCACGATGCAGCTGCTGTGGAAGAAGTGATTGCATGGTAACTGCCGAACCTGCTCTGCTACTGTATAGTCTTCTTTACACACGGGGCACTCCAAACCCGTATCTGCAGGACAGATTCACACAGGAGAAGAGTTAGTGAGTTGGGCACAGAAGAGACCTGACGCCACCCTAGGTCCAATTACAACAGCCAAATGGGGTACCAAGAGCTACCCACTGGTCTCAGCTGATTTCTCTCAGAGGGCTGCAGACAGGAAGGCCGGAGCTGGGGTACAGTTATTAGCTGTCGAAGAGACGCAAGGCTGAGTGAGGAAAGGAAGGCGTATGGGTTTGTTTAGGCCTCCCACGCATGGCACAATACGGAGAATACATTCCATGCTAAGAGGGTCCTAGCCAATGCTGAAAGGGACCGACAGGAACTCATCACGGATACTAAGAACATAAAAATGGCCAGACTAGGTCAGACCAAAGGTCCATCTAGCCCAGTGGCCTGCCTTCCGACAGTGGCCAACAGCAGATGTTCCAGAGGGAATGAGCAGAACAAGGAATCGAGTGATCACCCAATCCCAGCTTCTGACAAATAGCGGCTAGGGACACCATTGCTGCCCATCCTGGCTAATAGCCATCGATGGATCAATTCTCCAGGAATTTATCTAGTTCTTTTTTGAACCCTGTTAAAATCCTGGTCTTCACAACATCCTCTGGCAAGGAGTTCCACAGGTTGCCTGTGTGTTGTGTGAAGAAATACTTTCTTTTGTTGGTTTTAAACCTGCTTTCTATTAATACTGGATTTCCTGCTTTGATAAACAGAGAATAAACTTCGGTGGGTGCGATTCAGCACAGGAATGGGGAGAGGAAAGATGCGAGGTAGAGGGAGGAGGGGTTGAGAACTTGGGAAGGAGGTCTGAGATGGAGAGTAGTTTCTAGTTTTGTCAATGGGATTCATCACAGGAGTGCCGTTACACAGGTGCGCCAGAGTGTTTGCAGGATCAAGCAGTAAACTTCTCATTTCTAAAATGCCTTTGCCATTATTTTACTGGTGTTTTTATGGCCTTGAGTAGTCAATCTCCTAATTTTATTTTTATTATTGTAATTTTTTTTTTAAAAAGTCTAAGTTTCCTGGTGGCTGGACTCCAACACATACATGGGAAGAGAGAAAATTCAGCTACTGTAATGGCTTTCAGTCCAGTTTATATTTGATGTTAGCACCACAATGAACTTTTTTACATGGTTAATGTTCTACAAAGCCTGATTAAAGATCTTCCACTATGGGGACTAGACTGCCTAGAGTGGATACTAACATTTACCAGGCTGGACGCAAAGAGACGACTGATAATGAAAATCAAACTAAGGACATTTTGTTCCTCTATTAATGAGCTCGCTCACGCAGGACAGAGAGAGAAACCCTCCAAAACAGGAACTAGGGATCACGCAATGAAATTCAAACAAACACAAGGAAGTGCTTCACCCAACCTGTGGAACTCCTCGCCAGATGTTACAAAGGCTGAAATTGCAAATGGGTTAAAAAAAGAACAAGATGCATTCCTGGAGGACAGGTCCATCAATGATTATTAGCCACTATGGACAGGGATGCAACTGCATGTCCTGGGAGTGTCCCAAAGCTCTGTTTGCCAAAACCTGAGTGGGTGAGGGGGGATGGGTCACTCTACAATTGCATGTTCTGTTCATTCTCTCTGAAGCACCGGGCATTGGCCATTGCTAGAAGCAAGGATGTTAAATCCCATTTAAAATGTTAATCTAAATGTTTAACTGATTAACCTGCCAGGCCCACCACACAGTGGGTTGCTCTGGCCAGAGCCTGCTGCATTGTGCCAGGGCCGAGGGTGGATCCGGCTGCGTCCACCGCGCTGTGAACTGCTCTGGCAAGGGCCCGCCGCACCATGCCGCAGGCAGGGCCGGATGCTGGTTAACACACGGCTATCCTGGTAAGCATGCCGAAAAGGCGAATTCTTACCGGGTAACTGCTTAACCTGTTGCCCCCTAGTTAGAAGGCAGGATACAGGGCTAGATGGACGATTGGTCTGACCCGGCAGGGCTGGTCTCATGTTCATTTTGCCATGCTGCTACAGAGTTCAGATTAGAGGTCAAAAGCATGTTGGCTACACAGCAACCCCAGTTCGGGCACAGCGCTGCTCTCCCATCACCACTAGCCCTGCACTGACAGTAACTCCAACGCACATCTCCTAGCTCGAGCCCCGTACCAGCGGAGACACTGGACCCGCCGCATTAATTCCCTACTCAGTTGCCAGGCAGCACGACAGAAGCTCAGGTAGCTCACAGACGCAGGAGTAGCTGCTGTCACCGTGCATGAGACAATACGACAGACACACACATACACTCCCCCTCTGCAGAGGAGACTAAACCGTGGGCATATACAGAGATCCAGACAGAAATCGATACCATGGAAACAGAATTTTTTTTTTTTAAAACATAAAGCCGTGTGTCTTCAAACAGTTTTGGTTTCAGGGAACACAGTAGCTGATGGTGGGAGGAGAAGTAGCTTGACTGCAAGTCTGTGAGTCACACACTTCTGCAAACACACTTAAAAAAAAAAAAAACCTTGCAGAGCCAACTGAGAAGCCATACGCGTCTATGAAACACCCGGAACTCTTCCCGGTCAGTTCTGCCCATGGAACATGTGAGCTTTACACCCACGTTTTAAAGAAGCGATTCAGTAGGACTCTGTTCGGAGTTGTATTTACCAGCCCTAGCTAAGAAAGCAGAAGCGACATGTCCAGCCCCCTCGGAGCATAAAAGGAAAGCAGCAAGGGCTCCAATAAGCAAGGAGCACACGTTTCTGGTGGCTGGATAAATGCATCAGACCACACACATTGGGCAGGGCCACTGGCAGTCCAAAGCCTTGACTTTACCAACCAAAGTCTGCTACTGATTCAACTCAGGCCATTTCAGCTTTGGGAGGCAACTGAACCCACGGGTCAAAGCAGACCCACACCTAGACACAGGGTAGCCCGAGCTGTCAGCAACATTGGACAGCAAAAGTGCCAGGGCTAAAAATCACAAGCTTCCATTGCTTCAGCAGAGTGATTCATCTAGATCAGGGCTCTCAAACTCCCGGCCTCCAGGTCACCTACAGCCCGAGCGCTTCCCCAATGTGGCCCATGACAGTTTGAAAAAGTTATTTAACCAAACCCACACAGCTGCCAGCCGGGGGGGAGGGGAAGGGGGGGTGCAAGGGACAGTGCAGAGACTCACCCAGCAACAGCCAGGCTCCAGTGCCCATATAGCCCTGGCCACAGAGGGTGCTGCTCAGTCCAGGAAGCCACACTGGCTGCCTCTGCCATGACTGCGCTGGCCAGGGAGTCACCCAAGCTAATGTGCTTCTGCAACCAGTGCAGCAAGGCTGGTGGGTTTCACAATGGGTTGCTCTGGGTGGGGATCTCAGTGCGAGGGTGCGGTTGTTAGTAAAGAGGGGGAGAGGAGGGAAATTGGGATCGCAGTGCAAGGACCATTGATGGAGGGAGGAGGTGGTCAGGGTGAAGACTCAGTTTCAGGCCTTGGTTAGTCTCTGTCTGGACTCCTGAACTGTAGGTCCTGTACTGCCAACCCCAAGAGATCAAAACTCATCAATCAGCCCCCAAAAAGAGAAGGGCTTCTTGAAATCACAAACAACAATACACTTGGGGATTTTTTTTATTCGGCATCTGGTGTTTGAGGCCTTTGGCTGAACTCGGGGTGTGTTTCCTAACTTTTCTCCACAAGCCAGGAGACCTAAAGTCTCCCTTAAAAAAAAAAAAAGGCAGCTGGGACTCTTTTCCAATACCACGCACCCACAAACAAGCACAACTACTAAATCACAGTTGATAGCGGTGCAGGAAGTGAAGATCGTGGATCTGGCTTAATTCGAACAACATAGCTGGAGCTTGCCTAAAAACAGCCCCAATGATCCAATCAGGAGAGCTGGCATCACCTATTCCTAGTCAGTTTCACAAAAGGAGTGAATCGTTTCACAGCTTGTGGACGGGGCGGCTCTGCGCACACCTCCCCCAGGCCACAGGGACGTGCTGCCCACGATGCGGCGCTAGCAGCCGGAAGTCACTCTAGCCCTGCGACACTGCCGGCAGCGGTGGTCAGGACTTCAGGCCGGTTTTAAATAGTCCAGGAGTGGCAGATAGGACCAGGGGACACACCAGGGATGGGAGGGGCGGTCAGCAGGTGGGGCTGGGAGACACATGATGGAGAGATGCATGGAGACCCCTCCTCCCGGAGCCCCGCCAGAGGAGTGACTGCTGTCCTGCTAGGAGGATTTGAGGACTGGCCCTGGCCCTAAGGTCAACTGAGTTTGAGACCCCTGATCTAGTTGGTCAGCAGAGAACACAGCTGAATGGGAGGTAGCAGCCATAGGGGGAGACTAAGAATGAACATAGGGGGTGAGGAAGCTGACGTCAGAAAAGCCTTTGGAATCTACAGATGACACTCGCATGGATCTATCAATGTAGCCCGGTGGTAGGAGACACGGAGCAGGACAGCAAGCATTGGCAGAGACAGGAGGAAGGAGCAGATATTGGAGTTAACCTACCAACTTGTTCCTGAGTTACTGTCACGGTTGGAAGAGAGGTGATCTTCTCTTTGTCAGCTGGAGGCGGTCCTGTGTTTTCCAACTGTCCCAAGAGCTGTAAGGGGGTGACAAATACACCGTGCGTTAGAACACCCCGTCGCCTTGGCTTGCGGAGCTCCTCTCATTGGAGCTGTGCCTGACACTACTCCATCAAGTTAACCAGGAGCTGCACCATACAACAGAAGGTTATTCACTTGGCAGGAGGGGGAGGCTTTCAGATGGTAGCTGAAATTAAACAGAGGTAGGTAGGAGGAACTAACAGAGAAGGCGCTCTCACCACAGCTGGGAGCCAGTGCTGGATGAGCAGGGCGAGGAGGAAAAGAAAAAAAAAAAGAGGGATAGGCTGGAGGAGAACACTGAACTGAGTGGGAATCGATAGTGGTGTGGCAGGGCTGGGCGGTGGGGGAGGGGGAGACAGTGTGGGGCCCAGTGGGTGGAAAAGGCAACGTAGCAGAGTTCAGCATGTGCCAGGACTTGTGCATGCCACGAGGAGAGGAGATTACAAGTGGTCCCGCTCTAGCCCAGTAATGACACCCCAATAAAACGACTGACACGGTATCGCCCTCTGCCCCGAGCAGCATCTGCTACTTAGACACGGGATGGAGGCAGAGTCAGAAGAAGCTGCATGTCCAATCAGAAACCTAACCGCTGCTAGTGGGACAGAGGGGTAGGGATGTCAGCAAACCGCACCTGATGACCATGAGACCCCCGCCAACCTCCTTCCCCCAATATGCAGGATGCAGGCTCATTTGAGAAAGCTCTGACGAAGGAGAGCAAGAGGAGCGTGTGATGCAGTTTGCAGAGCCGTGGTTAGTCGTGAAGGACGACAGACAGCCTGCATGCCTCCTTCACAAACTGTCCTTGTGATGCCACAAAACGTTCTGGTTGCTCATCCTTTCCAAGATGGGAATTCAACCCCCCTGCGGAGGCTCCCAAGCAAGCGCCTTCTGTTCCCAAATTAGAAAAAAAAAGATTGCAGGACAAGGGGGATTAAGAAAAGGCCTAGCCCTATTCTCCTCAAGCCAAGAGAGACAGCCCCTGGGCAGCTGAAGGCAATTGGTAATCATAGCTTCAGCAGCTTTTGTAGTTCTCTAGACAGAAAAGCTGCATCTGCAGTAAGGAATCAGGGACTCAGGCAGAAAGCTGGAATCCTGAATGCGAGACCAGGATAGTCTTTTTGTTGTACAGCACCTAGCACGACCCGGATCGGAATGCTACTGTCATACAAACAAATAAGAAGTGAACTTTCTGACTGCTAATGCTGGCAGGGAACCTGCAACCTTCCTTGCAGATTAGAGATGTAAAATCCCACTGAATTAGTTAACCAGTTAAACTGAGTTTAACCAGTTGACTGATTAAACAGGGTGGGATGAGGGGCTACGCCAGCCTGGCTGGAAGCAGACAGCAGCACAGCTAGAATTTGCTCTCATGAAAGGTAAGGAGATGAAATAATATCATGTTGGCTTTCACCTGAAGCCCTCAAAGAGCCTCTGACAATTAGCAGTAAAGTAATTGAGCCTCAATCCCACAGGAAGATAAGATATCCCTACTATAGACACTGGCTGTGTCTAGACTGCATCCCTTTTCCGTAAAAGGGATGCAAATTAGACATCGCAATTGCAAATGAAGCGGGGATTTAAATCCCCCCCGCTTCATTTGCATAAATATGGCTGCCGCTTTTTTCCGGCTCGGAGCTTTGCTGGAAAAAAGCGCCAGTCTAGACGCGGATCTTTCGGAAAATAAACCTTTTTCCGAAAGATCCCTTATTCCTCTTAAAGATCCGCGTCTAGACTGGCGCTTTTTTCCAGCAAAGCTCCGAGCCGGAAAAAAGCGGCAGCCATATTTATGCAAATGAAGCGGGGGGGATTTAAATCCCCGCTTCATTTGCAATTGCGATGTGTCTAATTTGCATACCTTTTACAGAAAAGGGATGCAGTCTAGACACAGCCACTCTGTATAGGAGAAAACAAGGCATAGAAAGCAGCGATACATCCAAGGCGTGAGCCAATCAGCAGCAAAACTGTAAACCCAGTATCCTGATCCATCCCCCCGCCATCCTCCGTGCTAAGAACCCATCCACCTTTTCAAGTCGAGATGAAGCAAGAACGATCAGAACCGACTCCTCCTCCCTGTGATCTAGACGATAATTAAAATAGCTTGAAGGATTAGCAGCGTCATCGCTTCACAATCAGGATCCCCTTTGCCAAGACATCTGTGGTAATAACTCAGATGAGTCAGGCCAAACCTCAGAGAGCTGCATCAAATCACTAAATGTAACACTAGCAAGGGGTGTTCTCAAACCAGGTGCTGAGGAGGGAAGAGGGCTGTGGAACTGTGGATCAGCTGTTCTCAAAATCATTAGCCTCAAAAATGATTACAGGGCTGGAATTAATGCCTTGCAGTGAGACTCTTAAAGAGACAGTTTAGCTCATCAAAGATGATCAAGAGAGGACTTGATGATGGCATTTGAGTCCCTTCCTATCAGATGCCAAAGGGCTCTAGCAGGAAAAAGGTGTAACGACCCAAAGCCAGACAAATTCAAGTTAGAAAATAAGGCCTACTTTTTTTTAAAACAGTAAGTGTGATTAACCATTAAAACAAACCATCAAGGGAAGTGTTGGATTCTCCATTTCTGGATGTTTTCAGATCACAACTGGATGCCTTTCTGGAAGAGACACTGTGCTCAAAACTGAGCGCCATCCAAGTGTCACTGGGAGAAATTTTACAGTCTGCTATACAGCAAGTTTAACTAGAACATCTAATCACAGAAGTGTAGATGTGTAGGGCTGGAAGGAACACTGAGGAGTCATCAAGTGCTAGGGTGACTGATGATGCAGAACCCAGGCCATCCCTGACACGGGTGTGTCCAACCGGTTCTTAAAAACCTCCAACGATGGGAATCCCACAACCTCCCTTAGAAGCCTGCTCCAGAGTCTATCGCTCTCCTTTGAGGCAAAAAGTTATTCCTAATATCGAACCTCAGTCTCCCTTGCTGTCGATTAAGCCCACAGCCGCTGCTTCGCTCTTCACCAGACATGGAGAACAATTGGTCACAGTCCTCTTTATAAATAGCCTGTAACACAGTGGTCTCCAACCTATTCACACCCAAGATCACTTTTTAAATCTCAGAACAGGCGAAGTTCTACTGCCCCGCCCCTTCTTTGAAGCCCCACCCCCTCTATTCTCCTCCTGTCTATCACTTGCTATCCCCAACCCCTTAAACACTCTGATAAACAGTTTATTTTTAAATTATGCAATATATAAAATTAAAATCGCGTGTTTATAGTTATGAAATAAATGGTCTGTTTTTTATTCATGCTATTTAAATCTAAAATGAAGCATTTATAAATATGCATTTTGTGGAGACAGGTTTCTGCAGCTGGGGACAGGGTGCCAGTGGGGACAGAGTTTGGAGAGTGGGGACAGGAATGGGGACAGAGTTCTGTAGCTGGGGACAGGGGAGTGGGTCTGGGGAGCGCGGACAGGGGGCAGGGTGCCAGTGGAGCAGAGAGTCCCCTGCATCTGCCTCCTCCCAGTATTCTCCCCACCCTCAGAGGGAACCAGCACGTGCCTCCTCTGGGCTCGACACCCTCCTCCCTCCCCTGCAGTGCAGGGAAACCCCGCGCGTGCCTGCCCTGGGGCCAAACCCCCTCTCCCGTGGCACGGCATGGTCAACCCCCACGCCTGACCCAGGGCCAAACCCCCCTCCCACAGGGTGGCCCGGCCCGGCCTGGCCAACCCCCACCCCGCAGTGGAGCCAACCCCCGCGGGCGCCTGCCCTGGGGCCAAACCCCCCTCCTGCGGCGCGGCCCAGCCCGCCCCTCCTGCAGCACGGCCAACACCTGCGGGTGCCTGCCCCAGGGGCGAGCCACCTCTCCCGCAGCGGGGCCAAACCTTGCAGCATGGGTCAGGTTGTCTAACCCTTTGATCATTTTTGTCACTCTCCTACAGACTGTCTCCAATTTGTCCACATCTTTCCTGAAGTGTAGCACCCAGACCTGGACAAGAGCCTGTGGCTGATGCCTCACCCGTGCCGAGTGGCACAGGACAATTACCTCCCAGGTCTTACATACAATATTTCTGTTGTTAAACCCATGAATGAGATTAGCCTTTTTTTGTATCGGCATCACATTGGTGACTCATATTCAATTTATGAGCCATCAGAACCCCAGGTCCTTTTCAGCCGTATGACCAGCCAGTTATCCTCAATTGGGTAGTTAAGCACTTGATTTTTCCTTCCTAAGAAAAACACTTTGCACTTCTCTTTATTGATTTTTCATCGTGTCGAACCAATTCTCCAGTTTGTCAGTGTCATCCTGAACTGTAGTCACATCCTCCTAAGTGGCTGCCACTCCTCCCAGCTTGGTGTCATCTGCAAACTTTACAAGCAACCCCTCCACTATGTTATCCAACAGACCATGCTGGCTTTAAAATCCATGAAAAAGGGATTCTCTCTAGCAGGAAGAGAGACTGACAGGAGAGAAATGTGAAAGATACATAAATCTTACTGGCACACACCAAAAGGCTTAGGCAGCAGAACTGGGGGGGAGGAAAAGGGGGTGGGGAGTCGCACCCCATCTCAGCAAACGTGCAAGTCTTACCTGGGTCACAATAGCATCAAGGCCACTCTGTCCCCAAGCATAATCGCCCGGATTGGAGTGCAGCATTCCACTCCTGCAGACAGAGGCAGAGAGTTCAGGGAGAAACTGAATCAACCTCAACACAGCTCTAAAGTTGTCTTGCACTGAAACACAATCCAAAAAGTAGCAGTGGTCTTATATTTATCTAGCCCTTCATCTTGTGGGATCCCAGAGATGAAGGCGGTCAGCTGAGTACAGATCTGACCACACAAGACCATCCCATGATGCAGTGCCATTTATCACAGAGGCATCACAGATGGCAGCATGACACCGGTCTACGGCAACGATCTGACCCGAGGTGGCAGTGCTAAGTGCTACTCACCAGGAGAACGGATGCTGAGAGCTTGGAATTGTGGAGTTTGCAAAAAACCCTGCAAAGATCTGCTGTATTATTCTGTTAAGAAAGGGCAAAAAACAAAACAAAATTCAGCAAACAGGCTCGGAGAAAAATACCCGCAAGCAGCGACATTGTAGTGAGAGGACGACAGCCAATCACGAAACTTCCCAAAATGAGCCACGGTTCCCTCCCTCAAAAAGCCACTCGCTGGGGAATGTTTGCCGCACATCTTTCCTTCAAGGGTGAGCCACGACTGCACAACCGACAGGAGGAAGGAAGCCTGGCAAAGCAATGCAAACCTCTCCGAGATGGCGCAAGGGCTTGGGAAGAGAACAGTACACTAATAGGTCTCAGTGCTGTGGGGAAAGGGATTAAAGGAAAAGACAGTGGCGTGTGAAAAATATTCAACTCAGAGTCAATAGTTTGCACTGATCAGAGTTAATAGTTTGCAATGTGGGGAGGAATGTGGGTAACTGAAGGTAGAACAAGAGGCTCCTAAGTCCCTTTCAAAAATGAGATTTAGGGCCTTAAATCTGTTAGGCACTAGGTCTCAGTGCTGTGGGGAAAGGGATTAAAGGAAAAGACAGTGGCGTGTGAAAAATATTCAACTCAGAGTCAATAGTTTGCACTGATCAGAGTTAATAGTTTGCAATGTGGGGAGGAATGTGGGTAACTGAAGGTAGAACAAGAGGCTCCTAAGTCCCTTTCAAAAATGAGATTTAGGGCCTTAAATCTGTTAGGCACTGCAACGCTGAGCCCGGTGATGCCAAAACACCTTTAAAAAAATCTGCTCCCTCGTCTCTCCAGATACTCAGAGAGGCAAAGCTAGTCCTCCTGCACCAGCACCAGAGGCAGGACGAAGACTTGTGGACCCACAACTTCCTGTTCGCGTGTCAGCGCTGAGTCAAACAGACGTTTGCGAACTCTGCGTTCCTCCTGAGCACCAGTCCTGCTGCCTTCCCATTTCCAAACAGGAGCTCTCGTACCTGTCACGTGACTGGATTTTAAGGGGAGCAGCCAGATCACTGCTGCACCCAGAGGGGGGTGTTTGCCCCAAAGTGTATACAAAGGGAGCCATGTGGGGTGTCACATGAAAGCTTCTGTTCTACTGATTCTGTATATGCTATTCATGTAATTGTAGAATATCTGTATGTGGAGTTATAAACGTGTACTTTGTAGGGATGCTGGAAAATTCTCTGTCTGTGGCTGAGCATGGGGCAAGGAATGCTCAGCCAATGGCTATGCTAATTAGAGATCTATTGTCCCTGGAGCCTTGCTAAGTGCCAGAGACACACCTGAAGGAATGTCTGGATATCTGCAAGCCAGCCAGAATAATGGTTGCTGACTTGGGACACAAGGATAGGTCAATGGACCATGTGACCTGCAGTAACCTGCTCTGGCCAGGAAGATGCCAGGAGAGGTATATAAGAGCCATGTGGCACCCTCCATCAGGAGTGGCCTGAGGCTGGCTGCGTCCAGATGAAACCTTGCAGGGAACAACGAGCCGGAAAGAACTGTGGACCCATCCTGACATAGGATGTAGACCAGAGACTTTTAAGATAGCAATTTAAACACATCCCTGCTAAGAGCCTGCATCGAGAACTGGGTGATTCGATGCATGTAATGTATTCTCCTTTAACAATCTTACTCTCATGCTTTTCTTTCTTTTAGTAATAAACCTTTAGATGTTGGGTTCTAAAGGACTGGCTCAGTGTGGTCTTGTGGGTAAGATCCACAGTGTAAACTGATGGGGACCTGTGGCTGGTTTCTTGGGACTGGAAGAACCCGTTGGGGGTAGGTGAGATCGGGTTCTATAACCCCTCACCTGTGTGTTAGGCCTGGGGCTGGTTGGGGCACAGGAAGAGCTGGGGTGTTCGAGGGGTTTTGCTCGTGAGGCTTCTGGCTGGCCAGACTGGCAGCTGAAGTGCTCTGCGCGACTGGTTTGTGGCCTAGTTGGGAAGGTCTCCAGTCTGGGGCTGTAAGGAGCTCTGAATCTGAGCAATTCGCCCTGAGCGGACGACTTCAGCCATACCCAGACCCGGCCCAGTCTGTCACAACCTCCCTTCCTCAGCACCCCATGGCCTGCCCCCCAACACCCCAGGGCAGCACCTTCTCCTTAGCACCCAGCCCCCAGCTCCCCTCCCACTGGGGCAGC